AAAAAAATGTGTATATATATGAGTGACTCACTGTGATATTGTTATGCTGTCCAGTGGTTGCATTAGTGAACTTGAAATCACACACAATGAATGCCAGCAAATACGTTGACATAGGAACCGACTTCTTAAAATGAGATTCAATTCTTCCATTCTTCAAAGTTCGCTTCTTAACCACTGGCATGTTTGACAGCGCTTTGTAATCTTTGTCATGAGCAATCACAGTGGAAAATGTTGCTTTCATTGCAGGCTCATCAAAACAAGGTAGCGCTTTACGTGCATCTGTTGGTTCAAACTTTGTTGTGGCAAGAAGTCTGAAGACAGAAAAACAAATATGTATTGGCTATTCTAGTATACATGTGCTGCCATATAAACACTACTTTTACAATGGTAGTGTCAGCTCAACAAGTGAAATACCACAAAATTTTTAGACAGTATCTCCTGGAGTTAGCTTGGTCAAATGGCTTTAAATCAGTGTGGGACTTAATACAGGCTATGTTTGTTAAGAGGCTAGAGTTAATAATATGGCTTTGTAATCAGTATTTAACTGCATTCACATAATCCACAAGATTTGAACACTGTCTGAATAATAAGCGCACCCGAGCACTTATGAATTGAACATCTTGTACAACTGTCAAGACTTCTTTCTGCCATCTTTAGTTTGCACGAGGAAGCAATATACATATATTTTCAAGGGAAAAGAGCAGAACACAAACAAGGTCTCAGTTTTTTTAAGGTTTGGTACTGGAGGTAACCAGACAATCAGGGCACGACGAAAAGGCTGTACAATAGCCTGGGACTAATAAAACAATCGGTCAGGCTAGGCTGTCTTATTACAGGTTGCCCAACAGGCAAGCCTGAAGTGGACAAGAGTGAAACACTGTTGCTTATTTTTTTGTTTTCTTTTTTCCTAGTGGCAAACTTCACACGTTGTGTTTAACAGACAGTTCGTGAGAGAAAGTGAAACAATAGAAATGTTTTTTAAGATAGAGTAAAATGTAAAATTTATGTGACTGAAGTCAATTTTTTCCCGATCGCATGTCCCGACAGCGTGGCAGCGGTGCAAGACATTGGGTGTGTTACTTTGGGGTGATCTGGATCAGGATCAGAGATTCAAGATCATCATGGTTCATCAAAGGAACCGATGAATCCGTGACCAGGGTGGATTCATCAGTTCCTTTGATGCACAATGATCTGAGTGATCTTGGATCAATGATCCTGATCCAGATCACCCCAAAGGAATGCACCCAAAAGCTTGCTGTAACAAGGTTATCACATATTTTCATCGTTATCTGTGTAGTTAATAGTTTGCTCAAGTAAGCATATGTCTCGAAGCATATGTAACTGTGAATAGCAAGGAGCGCTGGAGCGGTAGCCAAGATTTCATTTGGTTATTTTATAGTACAACTGAACAAATTGTGTTTCACATATTACATGAAATGTGTGACAAATTCAAAACATTAAGGCATAAAATAAATTTACTATCATTTATAAACTACAAAATAAGACAAAGTGTATGACTTTAATTATTGACATATTCCTTTCCTGAAAGAAAAATTTCAGCGATATTTGGCAAACAGCTGTTTTAAAAAACATGTTGTGTGACAGCTTTACTTTCCCGCTATAAACTACGTGTGTAAAGTAATTTGATATGTTGTTTTGACTATGCATAAATTAAAACTTCGACTAGGTTTTTAAAAAGAGCTTAAATTTCCAGTACTTTCTTAGATTCTCGTATGAAAACTTCTTTTAAATAAAGAAAAAGTCAGCTGCTATGCCATTTGGGAGTGAAGTGCTTCTAAGTCAGTTGTTAGTTCAAACTCATTGTTAATATGACATGAATGTATGTCTAGAATTTTCCATGGTCATTTTTTGGAAAATTAAATCTCAGAGCCTTAATCTGTCATTACCCAGCAGCTTTAATCCTGACCTAGTAAATATCTCTATAAATAATGTACGATAAAATAGCGTAAGTTGTGTGACCAAATCAAGGTTACAGTTGTTTGTGAAAAAATATACCGCCTTGCGTCTTCGTCTACAATATAAGCACGAATAGCTGCGGCTAAATTTTATTACAGTACCTAGGGAGAATAAAACGAATGACTTAAGTCTTGTTATTTATAGATATGAAATCTCTAAGGGGTATAGGGACCCAAGTAAAATCCTGGGGGGTGGGGGTCAAACTGGAAATGAACCCTCCGTGGGGGGTATGGATATTTTATAGAACCACACATTAAGTGTTCTAAATGTTTTACTGTATAAGGTTTAATTCAAAAGGGAAATCGAAGAGAATTAGCTCATCTAAGCTCTGTATTATTAATTCACATTATTTTAACATATTAAATTGATTTAATTATCCTTGTTAATAAGATAATTTCGGGCTAGCTCCTCAGAGATTTGGGCTAGTAAGACAAAATTTCAGCTTGCCTGAAGGGCAAGTGGAGTTTTTGAATTTCATCTCATTCTGACAATTCAAAAGAATAAAGCAAACAACAAAGAATACATGTCTCTTAAAGATAAAATTGCCTTTTACAATGTCCCACCCCCGTAGCTAGCCTGCAAAAACAGCGGTCCTTCTTCCGGCCCGAGTGGTGTTTAGCGGGCCCGGGAGTGAAGTAGGAGGACTGTTTTCGCAGGCTACCTCGTAGCTGACCTGTTATAGCAAGTACCCTACCCTGGGAAAGGAAAAGTTATCAAATGCCCAGGGGAAGGACAAAATGGACAGGCATGGAATTGATAAAGCCATATAAGATGGTGGTGCATCAAAGGAACCAAATAAACCTTTGTCCAGAGTGGATTTGTTAGTTCCGTTGATGTATCAAATGGATTATTGATCCTGATCCAGATCATCCTAAAGGAGGGAGAGTACTCCTCCTACCCTCACCCTCCCACCAGGGACAATTTTGCTCCTGTTGGTTGAGCGTCAGTTGCATGGTAACAAATGTTTCTAAAATGTTTTGGTTTTGAAATTCACAAAGCTTAAGTCACCTGATCAAAAGTTAAATGAGATTATAAAGAAATGAGCTTATTTTTTTTTTGTACTCTGCTCTTTGCTCCGGGCCTCGTTTTAAAACAGAGGCAAAGGTTTTATTATTGTCTGGTTACGGAACAATGCAAGCACAACGTCTTTACCTTTTTTCACCTTTTTCGTTCGTGTAGGTACTTATGTACAGGCCGTTCAGCTGACTGGAAAACGTCGATTTATAAGACATGACTAGCACATACTGCCCAACTTCAAGGTCATCTTCCAACTGGAAAACAAAGAAATCATTCTCGGGATATTCGAAGGTATCCTTCAGGGCGACTTCTTCTCCCGGGGTAGCCGAGTCAGATTTCGTAGGTTTGTAAACTTTGGCGTCTGTCACATTCATGTCATTGATGTGAATCAGGATATAGGACATGTAGTCTGATTTTTCAGTGACTTTGATCAGGATCGAGACCTTTCCTTGAAAAGTGTTCTGTTCCAAGTACGGATCTAGGTACAATTCGTAGTGAATCGGCAGTATGTTTTGCGGCAATCGAATTTTGTACCATGGCTCCGGACGGGACACCGGCTCTGTAGGCTTCTCGACCGATGGCTTCTCAGTCGTACCAGTACTGTCATCTCTTTTCTTCTTCTCGCTTTCCACAAGAGCTTCTTTCCTTGCTTGTCTTGCGCTAAAAACGCCCGAAATAACGCCAACAAAGATAATCAACGCGATCACAACAACAACTAGGACAATTGCTAGATTCCGCGAGATAACAAATGCTTTCCCAGATTCCTTTTTGGCGTCTTCGCCATCTTCATTACTTTTCATTGGAACTTCTTCGTAAGAAGACATGTTGCTGTCTTAAGGTACTGCGTGAGAAAACCAAAGAGAAAGCAACGATATAGGCCCGGTTCAGCTACAGGTATGTACACGCTTCGCCTCCTGCAATAAAAACACGATACGCTCTCTGCGCTCTTGTGAACATTACACTGAGCAAACAACTGGTGTCACCAGATTCGCTTTCTGTCCAATCAGAGATCGAATTAACGAAAGAGCGGGAAAACACTATCAGGGGATCAGGGGATGAAGCGCTCAACCAGATTCATTCTTCAATCAGATTAGTTTCAGGAGAAGACAAAAACATTTTATTTGAAATTCATAGTCTTTGGGTATCCAAATGGACGATCGAAGAGAAGGAAAATGTCTGCAACAAAGACCCCTTAAGGCCAGACATCGCTCCCCACTATGAAACGAATTGATCAAGGGACAGAAAGAAGAAAATCAAATTGTTGTAGGAAGGGAAATAAAAGGAATGCTGGCCTATCTAGAGTAGGTTCCGGTTTCGATTTTAAACCTCTGCAGATACCCAGTGGTTAGGCTAAGCCGATCAAAGTCTCGCGTTTTAATTCCTCTGAAATAAAAGTGACAATAGATTTTTGTTCAAACTTTGTCCACTGAATATTTGTCGTATGATAACTTCAATTTTGAAATAAAAAAGGGG